CGAGAGATTAAGGATATATAAATCACTAGTGATAATGAATGTAAGTTCTGTTTATGCTTATCTTTCTGTATCGATGATGACATCCCAAATGTTTTAAATGAATAAAAATACTTTTCTTTAGAAATGCTTTGATAACGTATTTATCAAGTTTTACTGGGAACAAATTCCACAACATTTTTATTAAAAGAGGTACTCTGACTTTTATAAAGCATAAACAAAATCAGCTGATACAAACTCTCTCATCCGCTCCTCGAGCTGCTCGATCCCTGAACCTGAGCCAGACCCCTCTCTAACACCTGATCCATCCACTGGTCCATCTTGTGAAGTTTCTATACTAAAAACATGCCATAACAATCATCAAAATACATATCACAGCTGAGGGACCTCACGCGCACAACAAGTTCCCTGGTTTTGTCTCCACCCCTCTTGAATCAAGTACGGATCCTCTACTTTCAGTAGTACGGGCCCATATTACCTTCCACATCTATCCGTACTTTCCTCAAGAGTTTATTCGATGCCACCAAGTCCCTTGCACGACTACCACTGCTCCCAACACTAAGCTTATCCTAGGCCTATCCTAGGAAAACCTCCGAACCAACCAGTCCTCAGCTGCTAAAGGTTTCTACGTAATGCCAATAAGCCATTACCTGAATACCATCACATGTGACGAGGCTCAGATAATCCTTCAAGTAAAGGACTCGTCCCTACAACGGTTAGACTCAATCGAGAGCTGCACAGTAGGGACAAATCCAGAACTCTGAGATTATTCAAACCTGATCACATGTGACTTAATGTATTCATCTAATAGCTAACTCCCATCACCCAGAATCCCATGAAGCACAAAGCAAGTAACATTCAGACCAAGGGAAATCTAACCAGAACATAATTAAGCAGTTCTATCAAAATACAAGAATCTATACTAGCATGCAATATAAGCTCACATAATCAGGCATAACCTAGACAAGCTATCCTACCACTGTCCAACCAATGCCAACATATAGCTCAATAAGTGCATATAACAGGCACATAAGGCATCCTCCTAGATCCTTAGCCCTAAATCTAGCATGTTGATCACATAATCATAACATAACATAAACTTGTATGGGTAATTTGGGAGAACTTACTTGATCTCGGCTGATTGCATGTACCACACCCTTTTCTCTTTTCAAAGTTCCTTTTGCTTTTTCTAAAACCCCTTTCTTTCCTCAAAATCCTTTTATAAATATGGTTTTTCTTTTGGAAAAATTTTATACAACTTCCTCAGTTTGAGTTCGGACACACCCGAGAGTGTGCCCGAATCCCTCAAACCAAGGCTCTGATACCAACTTGTAACATCCCAAATTTCGAGTCCAAAAATTCCTTTTAAAACAATACTAATTCAAGCGTTACGTCATTCCAACATACAAAAAGGATTTATATGACAAATCATAGTTTCATTTCCAAAACATTTGTTTAATTATCAGAGTAAACATCCCAGGCTAACTTGTCATGGTGTGTGCACTACAACCTTCCCGAGCTCCTCTTCTGAAAACTCAATACCTGAAACCAAAACTGAAAACTGTAAGCATGAAGCTTAGTGAGTTCCCCAACCTACCGCATACCATACATATCTACTGATCCAAACATGCCATACATAATACTGAGCACATAACCACATACTAGGCTCCTTCTAGCTGCATTGGGCCTCGCCCGCTATCAGACCCCGTCCGCCACCAGGCCCCAACTGGCTTCGAGCCCCGCTCGGCGTACATATCTGTTTTCCTTAGGCCCCGCTTGTCTCCGGCCCTCGCCCGCTAACATATACTAGCATACAATTATATCACAACACATAACTAACATACTCTACTGGATTATTGTACTAAGGTCTCGCCTATCTTGGGCCTCGCCCCTGTCCTGCTACTGTTGAATCATGGAACCCTGTCCACACTACGATTGACAGTGAGATACTGGCCCAACCCATCTCACTCTTTTCCTTACTTGGGCCTCGCCCCTGCTCTACTGCTAATGAGGTATGGAACACCATCCACACTCTGCCATTGGTGAGATATGGGACCTCGCCCATACTCACCTCCCTACCAGGCACATGAATGTATCACACAGACAACAAGTATAACTATCATACAAACCATTCCTTGGGCACCCGCCCGCTAACATTGGACCTTAGTCCCGAATGTCATACTAGCATATTGTGCATAGGGCTAACCCCCGGGTCTTCCTACTGATAACTACATGGACCGACATTGTGGCCGTAGACCCATTTACACAAGGGGAAACTCACCTGCACTGCTAAACTTTGCTGATAACCCTCTGGTTGCTATCTGACAACTCTCTGAACCACTGCTCCACTAGCTCCCCGAGCTACTAATATCAATATAACACTTAGCTCCAAATTGGAATCTAGAAGCCAAACTAAGTCAACTCTGGTCAAAGTCAAAGTCCTGGTCAAAGTCAAACTTCCAGTTGACTCGACTCGCCGAGTTAACGCACAGGGTTTAAGACAAACATGCTTCACCAACACACCAAGGGCTGATACTTTATGGGTTTTTGGACCAAGACAAGCCTAGATCTGAAGTAGCAACCTCAGATCTGGACTTATAACTTGAAATGGCTCCTTAACATGCCAAAATGGCCGCAAAACATCATCCAAGAAAAGATCTAGAAGCAACAAAGGCAAAGTGACAGATTGTTACCTTCAAATTGATGCTCAGAACCAAAGAGTTGAATCCTCCAGCTCCTTAGTGGTCAAATCCTCCAAATCTTCCTCTTGTAAAAGCCCCAAGCTCACTTTCCTCCTCCTCCTCTTCAAGTTAGGGTTTGGAATTGCTTAAAGAATCTTCTGGCCGATAGGGGGGATGGGGAGAGGACATAAGTTCCTTTAAATAGGGTGCAAACCCTAAGATTAGGGCTTTTCTCATCCATACTAGACTCTCCGAGTCCACTCGCCGACTTGCCGAGTCGGTGACTTATTCTATAACCCGGATCCGACTCCGACTCGTCAAGTTCTTCCCTGGACTCGACGAGTTGACTCCTTGACTTGGAGCTTTTTCTTTCTTTTCTTGGTCTTTCTGATTATGGGTGTTACATGTTGCTTTTCATTTATGGCCATGGAGGGACTGGTAAAACTTTCCTGTGGACAACAATACTAGCTTATTTCCGTTCAAGAGGAAAAATAGCCCTTGTTGTTGCAGTTTCTGGTATAGCATCTCTGCTTCTTCCATCAGGAAGAACTGCTCATTCCAAGTTCAAAATCCCAATCAACTTTATTGATAACGTTTCATGCAATATTACAAAAAGATAATGCTTGCTGAGTTGTTGAAGGTAACTTCCATCATTATATGGGACGAGGCTCCCATGAGTGACATACATTGTTTTGAGTGTTTGGATCATTCTTTGAGAGATATCCTTGAATGTGAAAGTAAATTCTTTGGTGGTATGTCGATGTTATTAGTAGGAGCCTTTCGTCAGACATTACCTGTGTCGCCAAGGACCACACCCTCTGAAATTATCTCCCTTACGCTGCTAAACTCGTACTTATAGCCGTATTTTAGTTTGTATAAATTGACAGATAATATGCGGCTTAAAAACCTATCCACCTCATCTGATAGTCATTTAGGTATCTCACAGTTTGCATCCTGGTTACTTCAAAGTGGGGATGGAATCATTGGTGAAATTGATGCATGCGATAAGAAAAATACCAAATGGATTGAGATTCCTGTGTCACTTATCATACCTCCAACAGAAAACGCATTACACAACCTTATAGACTTTGTTTATGGAGATGATGTTCTGAAAAAACCCTCTGCTTCAACTCTATCTGCTAGAGCAATAGTTTGTCCAAAAAATGAAACAGTCCAAAAAATAAATGATATAGTTTTGCAGAGAAGTCCTGGTGATTCAAAGCTGTACGAAAGTGCTGACAGTATTGAATTCAATGTGAACCAAAGTACAAAGTTTAATACTTTCTATCCATTAGAGTATTTGAATGCCCTGACCTTCCATTCCATACCTGTACATTCACTGTTATTGAAAATGAACGCTCCTGTTATGTTGATTCGGAACATAAACCAAAAAGAAGGTTTATGGAACGACACACGACTGATTATTTCACAGTTATTGTCCAACGTTATTGAGGCAACAATTATTTCTGGGACTTTCATTGGGAGCAAAGTTTTAATCCCCAAAATTAGATTTATTCATAAAGCCCTTGATATACCTTTTAGCTTTGTTAGGAAACAGTTTCCGTTAAAAGTCTGTTATGCTATGATTATCAACAAAAGCCAGGGGCAATCTTTAAAAAAAATTGGAATTTATCTGCCTCACCCAGTGTTCACACATGGACAACTTTATGTTGCATTGTCTCGTGCTACCTTCCAGATTATGTGAAAATACTTATACATTCTGATGAAAACACTGCAAATAATAAAACGAAAAATGTTTTTTTCAGAGACTTCCTACAGAAAGTTAATACTTCAGAGGTCAAATACATATTTAGCTTTTATAATTATATACAACAGCCTAATACATGTTTCTTACTTTTAATATTTATTGTTACATTCACAAATCATACTTATATTCTTTGTTAACTATGATACCACACATCAACCTGATGCATGTATGTTATGTTTTTTTACCTGACTACCTCATAAAACATAATATTTATTGCTGCATTCAGAAATGATGTTTATATTTTTTGTTGACTACCATTCCAGACATGTCTTAAATAACAACAACAATCTCAGAACTGCATTATGGGTGTCCGGGAACAGCGATGCAGGTATATAAATAAATATTTTTTCATAACAACTTTGTATTACCAACATACATTCTTCAAAAACAATAAACTTATAACAATTTTTATCACTTTAGGTACGAATCTTGCGTATGTGGACACCACATATTAGAAATTATGAGACATGGTTCTTGGTTGTTGACAAAAATGTAAGTTATCAACTTCCATCCCAACCTTCTTCTAATGTATACACACATTAACCTTATATACAATGTCCACTATGTACAAGGGTGATGCTGTTCAGATTCTGGGACAACGAAAAGATCAAGGCTTTCTACAATCCGTTCTCATTTCTTCTAGATGTTACACAATTGAGAAGTACGGATGTGGAGTACCAGATCATTATCAAAAGTGGATCAATAATGAATTCTACATGGCTGTTGGGACATCATCCTCTATTACACCTCTTCCAGACACTACCATTATTCCAAAACATTGGTTTTCTTTTGTTTCCAAAACACAAATACCAGATTACAAAGACCAACATGCAGGTGTTACTATTCATACAAATAAAACAAGTAACATACAAAACATCCTTACATACATTAATAACAATTAAATAACTTTACCTGTAGATTTTGTTGACTTCTTCAGCAAGCTTATCAACTGCACGAAAAACGATAACGAACCATACCTGTTGTTGATACTAAGAAATGATTCGAAAGTAATTTTTCAGTTGTATTACCGTAATATGTTATTAACATGTGTCAAACCTATGAACATCAGCGGTGAAGACATTGCAATAAGTTTATGGAAGGAATTCACTAGTGTGTCTTCAAAGTTTGATCGTGTTGTTATTGAAAATTCTCCTGCACTTGTCATAGTCGCCATAACCATCATAAAGATCTCTACTTACGCAGGTAACTACATATGAAAATGTTGTTACATTAATAATTTTAAAAATAAAATAATTTGCTTGTGTATTATCTTCAATACTAAACATATAGGAGCATTACGACTTGGAACAAGTAGCGCTACTCATCTATACATCAACCCAACAATTCTAGAAATGAAACTACTAATGGACAGATATCATAAAGAATGCACATTGATAAAATACATTACATTCTAAATTACTTTTAATTCACAGATTGCAGTTACAATACATTACCTGAGGTACATTTTTTTTAGATCCTCTTATACAATTGTCGAAAATACTCGAGAAAAGTCATTCTGATCTTTCGGTATGTTACACCTACATGTATGTGTCTACACAAGAAAAAAAATATCATGTTTATACTTTTATGAAGATTATATACGTCTGTATGTTATACAGGACAAAACTCTTACGATGAAGGCTTGCATAATTGAATATATCTTCTCAGACTCTTGGTACCATGTCCAATGTCCAAAATGCAAAAATACAACTTTCAAACAAGGGGAAAATTGGTTTTGTCCATCAGACGGAATACTTGAGTCTCCATGTAACACGTAAGCATGGCACAATGAAAAAAACCAATTAATAAATGAAAAATATGGAAGCTTAGCAATAACTCATTTCTACACACATGTAGGTTTAAACTGAATGCAATTATTAAAGAAGAAAGACATTCCATGACCATTGTGCTGTCTGATAACGCAACACAGGAATTACTAGGCACAACAACAGATAACCTCAGATCATACAACAACACAGATGACTGAAAGGAAGTACCACCAATTGCTGTCTCTTTACTAGGAGCTCCAAGAAAATTGAAAATTCGCATGACAAATACATCAAAGGACAGAAACATTCGATTTATTGTTACAAATATCGAAAAAACACCTTCTGAAGTACCACCTTCCATGACAACACCACCTCCTGATCATCCAACTTCTTCAAAAAAATACTAACGAAGAAAGTGATCACATCTACCAACAAAGTAAACAAAACGTTAGAAGATCACTTCCGTTTGAAAATCCAGGTAAATTTTTAATTTGTAGTATACACATATATAAGGGTAAATACATATTGCCAAAATGGTGAACATATTCAATTATAAATGCAGACACAATTACTACAAAACGAAAATCCGCCCGTAAAACGAAATAGAAGTCACTTCTTCGGATGTTGATCATAACAAAAATACTAATAGTATATAACATGTTGCAACTATGTACAAAAAGTGTTTAACTTTGGTGTTCTATTATAGTATCTATAGTTATACCCTTAACTCATGATGGACTTTGTGTTGGCATTTTACTATAATGTAATAACTAAGGCAATATTTCGTATGACAGATAGTTATGTAAAATATGTTACAGTTATGTAAAAAAAAGTGTTTCGCTTTTAGCTTTTATACTACTCTCTGTAGTTATACCCTTAACTGTAGTTATACCCTTAACTGATGATGACATTTGTGTTCGCAGCCTACTATAATGTAATAATTAATGCAATATTTTGTATGATAAATAGTTATGTGAAATACGCAATGACAATGACTTAACTTATAATAATGTACATTTTTCATAAACGGCCCACAAGTGAATGGTTTCTTAACACTTTGTCACATAATAAACGACCCACAAGTGAATGGTTTATTAAACGGCCCACAATGACAGTGGCTTATTAACATAAGCGAATGGTTTATTAACACTTTCTCACATAATAAAAGTTAATACCATACAAAACGAAAAAAAATACAACAAATTACTCCATTACAACAACACATATTAATTACAACTAAGTTGTCAAAAACACCAAATAAAAGCCAAAACTATAAAAACAACGTTTATTAAGAAAATAATTAAATATTTCATCCATTTGCAGATATCATACATCTGTAGGTCTAACATATCATAGCTTCAACAACTAAGTGATATGATGACACGCCACATCAGTCTCAAAATACCTTTATAGATGTTTAATAACCACACCTATGAAAAGGAAAAACTTACACATGGACATCTAAACAATACACTTCCACTATATAATGTACATAAACAAAAATACTTCCAAACAAAAAACAATCCCTACAAATCTTTCGCTTACCATACAAAAAAATATGAAAACCCCACTTTTCAACAAAAATCTCGTTGTTATGATTGATTTCCTTAGGGAAATTGGAGATCTAATTGAAGTTGTCCAAGGAAAGTTAGAAGAAAGATTTTGCCTCGATGAAAACATCTAGTCATACATGGCAAGTCACACATAGCAAACAACACAGAAGATCCTGACGTACAGATACTACACAACATATTTGAAAAGGCCTGAGCCGATGACCAATCCATGAGTGACAACTTTTCATTTACACTCAGAGACATCCACAAAAGAATTGGTAAATATAAGTGCAAAATGAAGGATACATCCACATACCGACTTTCCATCAGATATCCACCTGCAAACCACTTGCACCTTCGCTGTATAATAGTTTTAATGTACGTAGTTAAATAGTTTTAATGTACGTAGTTAAATAAAAAGATGTTTTATGTAAAATAAATTATATATAGCAAATAATATAATTATTATGCATAAAAGTATATATACCAACCACTTACAATAAATGAATCGCAAACTACTAACCTTCAATGCTTAATAAATGATACACAACTCCAAAGACCTTCCAAAAATTTCTTATTAACACATAACTCTGAAACTGCCGCCACAACTCACATCACATTCCATCATCTTCTAAAAAATTACTACTTACATTAAATACCCAACAACCACTACAAAACCGTATTAAATTTCAATATGCCTACTTAAGTAAACGTTTATTCATCAAACATTCTCATACTCGTACTATACACATCACAGACATCGATCACAAACACAAAAAATGAAACCACAAGAAATGAAAAGTATCCTCAACAACCTCATCTCTCACGAAGAAGCAGAGCAACTTTCGTTAACCAACATGGAGGAAGAAGTCCATGAGCACAAAAAATATAAAAAAAACTTATGGAGGAGATGACCTCAAAACCATCATACAACAACTACCTGACGATGCAACAAATCGTGTTTGAAACCAACTACGAGGCCGGTAGGATGCTAAAAACCATGCATGAAATGAGAAAGAAAAACAAAGAGGCTATCAAAAAACTCAAAAGAAACATTAAGGAACATCCTAAAGACATCCATCCATACGTGTAATGTGTTCATATGTTTAGTATACCTTCCAGAAAACATCTTTTGGTAATGTATCGTCCATCATAATAGTCTTTTGGTAATGTAATCGTCACTGTATGGTCAGTTTCAACCTCAGTTTCATATATGTAATGCAATGCCATTAATATTATCATATGCTTCCTTATGTACAACGCCAATGACACATATAATTCCCTCTAGTTAATATAAATGTCTAAAAATTAAAAAAAATAACTCAAAATTTCAGATTTATTTAAAAAAAATAATTTTTGATTTTTTTTTAAAAAAATGGATATTTTTTAATTTTTTTCAAAAAACATGAATTTTACAAAAAAATGAAAAAAATATTTTTTGAAAAACTGCATCTTTTTTACAAAAAAAACTGCATTTTTTTTAAAACGACATTTTTTCTAGAAAAAAACTGCATTTTTTTTCAAAAAAAATGTGATTTTTATAAAAAAAGTGCAATTTTTTCAAAACTGCATTTTTTTAACAGAAAAATCAACATTTTAGGTGTATATATGCATATTTTTTCAAATGCATATTTCTTATACTGTAATATTCATAATTAAATTATAAAAAATCTTATTTTTATTAATCAATCTATAAACATAATGCAATTATTTTATTCGATACAAAATAAAATATAGAAAAACTACAAAGATTCACTGTGTTATCAATTCTTCATATCCAAATTTCTATATTTTCTTCAATTTATCACTTTTCACATTTTCAATATTTTCAACAAATTCTTCAAAACCTACAAGAAATTTATAAAAATTAATTAATGCAAGAAAACTCAGAAAAATGCACAAGTATATATCATATAAGATTCACATATGATTATATCATGTAAGATTCAAATGCGATTATATAATGTAATATTCACATGTGATTGTATATTTTAAGATTCAAATGTAAAATTCACAAGAAAATAAAAAAAAAATTAACAAAGACCACTATGTGAATCACATGTAATTGATATGTGATTCACTTGTGATTTACATGTGAATTACACGTGACTAACATGTAATTTATATGTGAATCATATATGAATTACATGCGATTTACATGTGAATCATATGTATTTCATATGTAAATTAGATATTATATACATGTAAATCACATGTAATTCATATGTGATTCACTAGTGATTTACATGTAATTCATATGTGAATTACATGTAATTCATATGTGAATTACATGTAATTCATATGTGAATCACTTGTGATTTACATGTGAATCACACGTAATTCATATGTGAGTTACATGTGATTTACATATGAATCATGTGTGAATTACATGTGATTTACATGTGAATCACATATATGTGATTTAGATGTGAATCACATGTAATTCACATATGAATTACATGTGATTTACTTATAACTGTCACACCATGATTCATACAAATACAAAAATTCAAAAAAATTCGAACATGAACCATTATCAATTATGATTTTGAATTGTGAATGTTGTGTTATTTTAATCATTATCTAATCAAAACTACAGAAATGGTCCCTGTGTAAAATTAAATTACATTAATGGTCCCTGTGTAAGACAAAGTATGTTGCTATATCTTTTTGTATAATATAAAATACGAGACACTAATTTATATTTATTTTTTATATTTTGGAAGCAATTGAAGGAAATATTGACAAAACAGGCGGAAGTAGGAAAATGAGCCTTTTTAAGACCATTTTCAACCCGTAATACCATTTTCACCAAAAAGTATATTCTTTTTTTTTTTAAACTTATATAGATTTTCAAAAAAAAAACCCTTACATTTGTTAGTTTTTTTGCAAATTCACCTTGCAACTTTTTTGTTGCAGTAACTTTATAAATTATATTAAGACACCATTATTACCAAATAAATAAAGTAATGTAAATTTATAACATAATATTACCAGTAATAATGGGAAAAAACTAGTTAGATAAAGTGTTGAATAGATAAATGATCTTTGTATGTAGCAAGTGTTAGTAAATGACCATTTTACCCTTGTGTGTAGGACTAGGAATGATGTTGAGAATATATTATTGCTAACCTGATGGATTCATGTTTGTCAATCGCCTCAATCTTTCCTTAGCCAAACGAAATGTACGGGTGGAGCTTTTAACACCTTGGATTATCTCCTGCCTGTAAAAATATCAGACTTGACTATGGTGCTTGTTTCTTTTTTTTTCATATTAATTCTTGTCTAAATAACTGAATACAATGTTATGTGGATAAATTATGTTTAAAAAATCTCATGACTTTCTCTATTAAGTCATTCTTTATGTAGTACATAAAAAAAGAAACACTCATATATATATAACTCATATATATATATATATATATATATATATATATATATATATATATATATATATATAGTTTACTGGATTAAATTAAGTCCTGACTTTTTACAAATATGCTCTCATTTACTTTTTCCTTCTACTTAATATTTTATCCAAAGGGCAGTGTATCTAGACATAACTTTATGGGAAAAAAGAATGCTAACCCTAAATCTCTGAGCTCCATTGTTAAGTCACTGATTTCTATTCCTGATAAAGGAACAACAACCATTGTTAAGTCACT